AGGCCAGATAATTGAGGTAAATTCATATTTAACAATAAAAATAAATAAAAATAAAAATCTAATGTTTGAATTTTTTATTTAGGATGAAAATCTTCCAGCTAAACATCGAAATCAAAGGCCCCGTGTGCCTCCTACAGGCAAGATTCCTCCACAGCCTAAAAGACAGCAGCAAAAATCTAGTGCACAATCTGCAGCTGCTCTTGCAGAAAAAAAGAAGAAGAAAGAGCGAGATGCCGCTATTGCAAAAGAGAAGGAAAGAATTAAACTTCTTAAAGTTGAAGAGCGTGAAAGAAAAAAGGCAGAAAAGAATGAACAGAAACGACAGAAACAATTAGAAAAAGAGGCCGCAAAGAAGGCAGAGGCGGAAGCTAAAGAGGCTCGAAAAGCGGAATTGGAGCTTCAGAAACGGCTTGCTCAAGAGGCCAAAGAAGCAAAGAAATTAGAGCAAGAAGCTCAGAAGAAGGCTGAAGCAGAAGCAAAAAAGGGCGAGCCCAAAAAGAAAAAATCGACCAGCTCCAAAACTGGAAAATTTACTACATCTCCACAAGCCGAGGTCAGTTCTTCTTCTGCAGCGTCATCGGCATCTTCAAAAAAGGTTCATTATTTAGACATTGATTCCGAGATGGTGCCACTCGGACAACTTAAAAAACAACGTAGGTCAGAAGTTTCAGCTTCCAAACCAACCAACCGTTCTTCTCCAACGGCGAAAAAGAGAGTTCCACATGGCTAAATATGAGTTTATTTGAATTTTATGTGAGTATAATTATTTATCAAAACCTTGGTTCTATAATAAGTTGGAGAGTATAATGTACAAAGAGAATATTTGGTCAATGCTAGTAACATTCATATAAAGTACGCAATTATTATAACTTTTCTAATTATTTGTACATTTTTAATATGTAATTTTTATTGTAAAAAAAATAATAATAATAATAAAAATATAGGAGTTTTGTTTAATATAACAATATAAAAAGTATATAAACTATTAATAGTTTGTTTTAGCAAATGGATTTATTTAGCTATTAGTAGATTAAAAAAAATAATTTTTTTTGTTAGTTATTTTTTTTAGCCAAGTTACATATGATTTTTCAATTTATTTAATTTTTTAAACTTGTTATTATCTAGCTATTTTATAAGTTTTAAAAACCAGATATTTTTATTTTTTATTTATTGGTATCACTAAATAAGTCTATTTAGCTTGTTATAACTTTTTGTTTATATAGTTGAATATTACTAAACTAATAATATTTTTTTGTATAGTAAAAAAAAAAAAAATACTATATATTGTTATAGAATAGATTTTAGTATAATTTTTATTATATTTTTATTAGTTATATTTATTAGTATTTTAGTATTATTTTTTATATTTGTATTATTTTAGTATAAATATTTTATAGTATAGAAATTCATAAAAAATATTCATCCTAAGTAAAGTATCTCAAAAAGTATTTAGATCGAAAAATAGTTCTAAGTAAGTTTCTAGATAAGAACTACAGCTACACACAATAACATAAGTTTTATCTAAAGTTATTATGTACAATACAAAGAAAATTCAAATGATAGCTAATGTAATATAATAATTATCATGCTAAATACTATATTACTTACTATGCTAATCTATTTATAGTGTCACTTATATGATATCTAAGTGATACTTATACGAATATCTAAATAATGCTTAGATAACCTTTTACTGACTATTAGTTGACTCTTCCACAAGGCTTTACTAAATATATAAATACAAGTAGTTTTTCTCTCAAGTTTAATAATCAATTAGATTCTTTCAAAATCCTCTTCTCTAATAATAGATAGAGCTTAAATTCTTTTTTCTATAGTTATAAAGTATAATTACTCATATATATTTTTCTAAACTAATAATTTGAACCAATTAAACCTTAATCAAGTAACTAACTCAAACTGGGTAAACTGATTAAGTAAATATTTAACTAGTTGATCTGATATAATCATTAACCTGATATAATCAGTTGGTCTAGTATAATTAGTTAACTCAGTATAATTAGTTGATCTGTTATAATTAGTTAACTTAGTATAATTAGCTAACTCAATATAATCAGTTAACCTAATATACTATTTTTGTAATATGTATAGATTTTTTTATTTGTTTAATACTTCTTTGAACTAGAGCTAAAGATCCAAATATAAAAAACTTTACAAGTTTATTAAGAAATACTCTTTAGTTCATTAAGCAAAAAGCTCTGAAACAAGAAGATATAACTATCTATAGAAGAAAAACAAAAAGAAATTCAAATTTATAGAGAAAAAATAAAAAAACTAGAAAATTGAAAAGAAAAAAAATTTTTAGAAATTTTTTTTTGTTTATTTTAGAAGATAGTATCAACTTAGAAAATTTTAAAACTAGTTATACAAAATAAACAAGCTAGAGAAAAATAAATTTGAACAACAATACAAATAATAAAAATACATAACAAACTTTAGATAAACAAATATGTGTAATACCAATTAATTATAGAATAATATAAAACTATATATAACTAAAACCAGATAACTTTTAGAGATCTACAAAATTATTATTAAGAAATTTCAAAAATAATACTAGTCAAATATAGAGTACAGAAAATTCAAAACATTTAATTAAAAAAATAATTAAAGAATATAAAAGAAAGATCTTATAAGCATTCACATTTCATCAACTCTTCCCATCGATCCGCTTCAAGTAATTTGTCTTTCCAAGCTAAAATTATGTCATTACTTTTGATAACAACAGGTGGTGCATCAGAGAAATCATAGGGGGCTTGTTTATTTTGCCATGTAGAGAACACATCATCAACGTGACGATGCCATCTCCAAAATACAGGGTCTCGAGCAGCGGTTCGTGGGTCAATCATGACACCAGGTGGAGTATTCTGACCTAAAAAGGTAAATTAAAAAAAAATTACAAGATTAGATGTAATAATATTTATCACACAATTAAAAGACAAATAAAGAAGATACACATACTATTCGTCCCATTTGGAGTCATTATGTATGCTCTAAAGTTTGCATTGGTTGAATTAAAAAGTTAGATTATAACTTTTTGAAAGTTTTGTATTTAAATTATAACTTACAACATAACATGCCCAGTATTATGTAATGTTGTCTCGAGAACGTTTCCAAGTGTAGTGGCTGATTTGTCATCTTGACCAAAATTTGTTTCCCCTTTTCCTTCGATGCCATCCAATAGTTGTTGTCTATATTGTAACAAGGTAGAAACCTTCGGTGCATTATTACCAGCTAAGCAAATATTATAAATATTATAAATAATAAATTATTGTACTTGATAATGAAATATGTAATATTAAAAATCATGTAAATACCCAAATCTGTAAGTTCTTTTCCAGTGGAACGAGCCATGAAATGAAAATTAGTAGTGCTTGGATTGCCATCAGGATCGTAAGTTAAATCAGAATCTGGGTTATAAGCTTCAGGGATATGTTCCGAAAAGTCGGAAAGTGGTTTAACTGGTTGAAGACCGACGGCAACGCGTTCAGCATCATATCTATTAAAAAAAAAAAAAAAAAAAAAAAAAATTTGTATGGTTAAAATTAATAGATTAAACATGAATGATAAGGAGAATAATAATAATAATATTTACCTGGCCAACATCTGTCTGTGCATAAATGCAAAGTTTTCACCTTCACGATCCTTACTTACACCATTAACTGGAAAGGCAGGAAACACTATATGCCAATGCTCATGATGTTCGCTTAATTGGGGATCTTCTCTCCACCAATCCAGATTGGTTAACGGAGGATCAGCTGTTGTAGGCGTTGGAGCGCCAGCAGCGGCATTTGTTTGTTTAGGTACGGAAATATGAGGAGCACGTTGACCTAATGGTGGAATTTTAAGGTTTCTTCTACGAGCTTCAGGATCATGGGCAATCCAAACCATAAGAGCATAACGGACTAACTCAGGATCGTATTGCTGAGCATCTAACTGGGCTTGTTCCATTACTTTTGCTACAGGATCGTTTGAGGCATTTTCTCTTGAGATACGAAAATAATTGTCACTCAAAATTTGAGCTTGTCTTAGTTGGCTGGTGTCAAAGGGGGAAAATCCAAAGAAATTTCCACGTTGATCTGTTTAGAAAGATAATTTAATAAGCAATTACCTGTATATAAACATTGACAGAACATACCTTGCTCTTGTCGAAAATTTCTTGGGACAGATAAGAATCCGCTAACTAAATTTTGAAGATGATGCGTCATTATCGAGCAAATTTGTATATTTATGAAAGTGTAAGCCTGGAGCAGAGAGAGTTGATGTCCTTTTTATACAAATATGTGCGCATTAATTGCTACTATATCTTCATTGAAGACGATCAATTTCTCACGATTTCACGACAATATTACCCAATCTGAATGCGTGTTCATGTTAATACTTGATTGAGTCAATATTCTCACGTTACAAATTATATCACTTTTAGATTATCATTGAAAATATTTAATGTTAAAACAAAAAACGAATTTAAGACACGATATAATGATCTCAGGTAATTATTATTATTATTATTATTATTATTTTGATCGTGTATACGTATACATTAGGACCCTAAACATATATACTGTACAGACTTCTTCCAAATTAGTTTTTTTACATAGTCAACTTTCAACTTATAGTAAATTCAAGCCAGATTTCAGTGTTCGCTACGCATTTTAATCTTTTTCACGTTGTTCAGGGTCCTTGAATATTTGGTCAGATACTTTAGATCTACAAATAGCATTTTTCCCTCTTTAAGTAATCGAGTGGCTTTTACTTTGATCATCCCGATCGGTCGAAAGGTCCCAATGTTTAATCATATGGGCCAATTCGGGACATACATATAGTCTAGACTTAATGCCCTAAAAATGTTTAATGGTTGTTTGACATTGTATTGCTTACTAAATAGTATATATTGATAGGTATCTGTTATGTCTGGTATGTATGTATATAAGCAAACAATACTAGTATGTATGACTCAATAGAATTTAATCTTGCATGATCTATTATATCCTTGAATTATTTAAGGTTTTATTTGAATTATTTAGGGTTTTATTTGAATTATTTAGGGTATTTACTCAAATATATTGAGCAATTGTACCATAGAGCAGGCCAATTAAAAACAGGTACAAAATAAATCTAGTGTCTCTGTCTACCAATGTCTCCGATTAGCCCATATGTAATATGGGTAACTACCAAGAGCGCGTGATAATCTAGTTATATATTACGCCTTAATATGCCTATCTTTGGATAACAAACATTTAAAGCTTGAATCAGTTTGACAATTAGAATAAATATAGTGAGAATCCACTATAGATAATGATATTGTTACTAAACTTTAAAACTATCATTATGCATAAATGCTAGTGTCCCGACAAAAATCTATACATAGAAATTTATACAATTTAATTTATACCAATTTAAGTAGATCAATACTAAATGTGATAGATCTTGAAAAAAATATCAAATTCACAACGTTGCATCGACACTTATTTTACCGACATTTTAGCCCGATTTAGGGTTGGGGTTTAGCCAGTTTTATATTTTCGGTGAAATAAAACGGACCCGGGTTGTATACGTATACTCATTAACGATATCTTTTTTTTTTTTTTTTTTTTTTTTTTTTTTTATAATTAAAAATAAAAAGGCTAGATGCATGAAAATATGATAGCAGACAAACCACTATTGTTCGTATCTAAAACCTTCATAAAGAAGTCCATATTGAGATCGATTTAAACTCGTTTTTTCGTGCTAATGATTTTATATATATGTTCGATTGTCAACTAGATGTGAAGATAAACTTCATTAATTACAATTTGTGATACAATTTATCATTGATCATTAAATCATTTGTACTATTCGCTATTATACATACACATAAACAGATAAA